CTATTGAGACTACAGCCTTCTTGTCACATTATTATTTTACTTCAAGACAGAACCCCATTACAGACTGTCAAAGAATAATTAGAACAACTAGGAACCAGTAAAACCCATCGATAGTTTTATAACAACTTTAAACCACTTTGTGGAGAATTGCCAGATGGCTCGTTGAAAGAAGAGCTCAGGCAGGACTGCATTGTACAGGTCACAAAAGATTAAACCACTTGCTGATAATTGCACAATGTTCAGCGCCATTCCTGGCTCCTCAGATACTGCAGCAGTCCATGTGCATATGCAACAAGATCTGGACAACATTCAGGCATAGGATGATAAGTGATAAGTGACATTCTGTGAATTGATATCTCCTCTCTCACTACATTTGAGGAAGGAGCAGAGCTCAAAAAGTTAGTGTTTTCAAATAAACCTGTTGGACTATAACCTGGTGTCGTGTGATTTTTGACTTTGTCCAATCCAGTACGACACCAGTATGTGCACATTATACAAGCTTACCTGGCGCCAACCAAGAATTTAGCTATAATTTGCGGTCACAAACTTCATTATTTTATTAATTTGTAAAATCAGGGTTAGAGTCTCATCTTACTAGCACTATGTGCAGTTGAATCTCTTCTGCACTATTGAATTAACATATTTGTTTAAAATAAAATTAAAACAATGATGACATATTTAAGATAACCAGTCAGACTCATAATGAGGCTCATTTACACTTGGTAGAAGTGAAATAAATTTGTATGGAAATATTCATTCTCTGTAAACAAAAGGAATATGTTCAAACTTTATTTGAATTATCTGTTGCTTCTCCCATTATAACGACATGGCTAATTAGATTTGGTTTGTGAATCAATCAGCACCCATTAATTGTTGCAACTATTTGACATTTGGCATTCTTATATTTATCCTTTTTTTCTTTATTCATTCATTCATGGGATGAGGGCATCACTGGCCAGGCAGCATTTATTGTCCATCCCTAATTGCCCAGAGGGCAGTTAAAAGTCAACCACATGGCTGTGGGTCTGAAGTCACATGTAGGCCAGACCAGGTAAGGATGGCAGTTTCCTTCCTTAAAGGACATTGGTGAACCAGATGGGTTTTTCCGACAATCGGCAATGGATTCATGGTCATCGTTAGACACTTAATTCCAGATATTTTTATTGAATTCAAATTCCACCATCTGCCGTGGCAGGATTTGAACCCGGGCCCCCGGAACGTGAAGGGGAAAAACTGAGTTAACGTTTCGGATCCGGAGGAAGGGTCACCAGACCCAAAACGTTAACCCTATTTTTTCCTTCACAGATGCTGGCAGACCTGCTGAGCTTTTCCAGCAACTTTGTTTTTGTTGCTGTGTATGGGGTGATTTCATTGAGTTGCGTTTGGGTTTCAAATTTTAAACGAATCACTCCTCACCTGAGCCAAACCCATCACTTCTCATGGGTTAAATTTAACTCCCATGATTTCCAGATTCTCTATGATGCCAACTGAAATTATTGTTTACAGTTTCAAAGCAGCCTTTTCCATCTATTTCTTATATCTTCCTCAGTCTAGACAAGAATGAGTTTTGTGTATTGTACAAATAGCAAGTTTTTCTTCTCTTGTGCTCAGAGACAGTGGTTGCAGACACAATAGCTCTATTGCGCTAACAATCTTAGAGTTCTATGTAGCACGTGTCATGGAAATTGGGTTCAAGATAGCAGAGTTATATTGGAGCTTGAATGATTTTTTTTGTCCATTGATGGTGTAATTTTGATAATGGCATTACAAATCTGACAGCTGAATAGAGGGTGAGAGTTTAAAGAGTTTTCCACACGTTTTTTTCTATTCAGTGAGTCTGAATCCTTCATCCTAATGTTGAAAAATATAATTAAAAAAAAAGAATGGTGGATGCTGGAAATCAGAAATGAAATCAGAAATTGCTGGAAAAGCTCAATAAGTCTAGCAGCATATGTGGAGAAAAAGCAATGATCAAAGAAGGCTCTGAAGGTCACTGGACCCAAAATGTTAACTCTACTTTCTCCTCACAGATGCTGCCAGAGCTACTTAGTTTTTCCACGAATTTTTGAAAAAAGTAATATCAGCTTCTTTTTTCTCCAATAAAGAGCAATCTGATCTTCAGATGTAGGAAACCAATGTTTCTTGTTGAAGTATTTTTTTTTACAAACGTACAGATAAAGAGCCAAGATTTAGACACTCTAAGAATGCCACAAATTTGGCTGATTGATTCCCCCCAAGTGGCTGAGTTATTTTAATGAATCAATTTAATGATGTGCCCATAAAGATCAAAACACCCAGTGTGTTTTCTTTTGTAGATTTTGAATTCCACATTTCTCTTTATAATCAATCCACAAGTTCGTTTTTATTTAATAAATTATACCAAATTTGGTAAGCGTTTTCTTTTCGTCCCTAAAGCTGTCTTTAACTTACAACACATATTCTACTTAACAAAACAGGCAAAAATCCACAGATTCTGGAAGTCTTGAAGCAAAATCAGAAAATGCTGGAATGACTCAGTGGTCTGAAAACAGTGGTAGGGAGACCAAAAGTGGTTAGCAGGCTACATTTGGATTCTGGTTATTATACATTGGGTACATTTCCAGACCCTACCGGATACCCAATGCAATTTTGAACAAACAGACCAATTAGTGGCCCAGGTAGTACATTACAGTCCAATTAAGGATGGTGGGTGGACTCCCAGACTGCAGGGGCCAATGCGAGGTCCTCTGGGTCTTCAAGGCAGACTGACTCAATGACTCATCACCAGAGGTAGGACCTGCTGTGGCAGATGGGAGAGAGAGGGTGCCTCAAGATGGAACTGCCTCCCGATGTGTTTTTATGATTGTTCATACGGCTACAGCTTGCAGGAAACCCCTTTGCTCAAAGGTCAGCACCTGCGATTGTGGCTTATGGCTATGATAAGTGTGAGGTGGGAGCTTCCTGACTGTATGGAGTGCACAGTCACCTGATCCACTGTCTGCCAAATGGAGATCAATTCCGACTCTCAGCTGTGTTGCTGTCTCAACAGGGCAGTAGTCTATTTGGCCACTGGAAAATTCCAGTGTCTGCAAAATGACCTGAATAACCCCTTTAACTGATGGAAAGCATGTTGCTGTGGGCAGTTAGTCCCCACCCTTGATTCCGAATGGCCTGGAATCAGGAGGAACCACGGCCAGAGCCTGGTACATCTCAGGCAAATGAAAATTCTGCCCAGTGTTTCACGTCTGTGGTCTCTTATCAGAACTGGGAAAATTCGGAAAATTTTTGAGTGAATGAAAGGGCCCAGAGTGGGAAGAAGAAATCAAAAGGAAAGGTTTCTGGTAGAGTGTGTGGTACTACAGACTTCAGAATTTTAGTAATTGTTCATGGACTGAATGAATCAACGAAAGATACACTATTACATACAGCAATAACTCTGTCTGTTAAGGAACAAAGACAAGCTGTTACACAGAGACTAAAGCAATTAGCCATGTCTTGGTGAGATTACATAAACAAAACTGCTTTGATAACTGTCTGATAAACTGGGTGCTTTATTGTCACAAGGACAACTGATTGCCCTGCAGAAGAGTTTAAGGAGTTAATCACTGGAAAGCTGTGTCTTCGAACAGACACTTAAGGCCAAATGTAACAACAAACAAAGAAATTGCTTTTGATAAGGAAGCCAGCTGCAGACTCGCAGTAACTTGAATTAAAGGACTCTTAAAAAAAAATCATCAAATTTATCACCTCAGAGACCTTAGGATGAAAATCTATACAAGAATCGAACACTAGAACAACTCATTGCCAGAACTTTGAAGAACAAAGCTGCAAAAGGACTGAACCCTGGAGACTCCTCCCAGAGACAAATCACAGTTGGTTGAAAACCTGGCTAGATTTCACCATTCTTCAGGTAATAACTAAGTTAAGTCGCAGGCTTGTACTTACTTACTTGGGGTCTAATATTTGGTTGCTACATGCAATAAAGTTTGAACTATTATTTCAGAGCTTGATTGTCTGTGAGATTTCTTAATAAGTAGCTGAATTAAAGGTAACCTTGTGGTGGCATACCCACAACTGGTGGAGGGGCAGGAGAGGCTAACTGGCAACAGGTTTCATGACACAAGATCAATGGAAGTGGTAATGCAGCAAGTAGAGAAACTAACGATGGGCTGATTCTGGTAGGCAACAGGGTCTCTAGTGAGCAACAAGAACCCACAGCTGCACTTTGTTGGCAGCTGCCATTTATTTGGCAGTGACTTGATTAAGGAGGGTACTTCACCCCAAATGATGCCAGGACAATTAAAGAACTGGCAACTCAGTGCCAACAGGATTGATGACCACTGCTGAGGTTGTACATGGTGATTGATGGCACGTTGATGGTTATGTTGGGTATATCGAGTCTGGGGATTTTGGGCCAGGTGAGGAGGAGGGTGGGGCAATCAACAGCAGCATTTTTTTGGTGGGACTTGGGCATCACTGGCAAGGCCGGTCTTTATTGTCCATCTCAAATGACCCTTGGAATGATTGGCTTGCTAGATCATTTCATAGAGTAGTTAAGAGTCAATCCCATCGTTGTGGACCTGAAGTCATATAAAGCACACTTAATGAACCAGGTGGGTTTTTACAAGAATTGAAGATAGTTCCATGATTACCATTACAGAGAGTTGCTTTAAATTCTAGTTTTATTAATTGAATTTCAATCCATCAGCTGTCCCAGTGACATTTGAACCCTTTCCCCTACAGCATTAGCTTGACCCTCTGAACCACGAATTTAATGACCTAAAGGAGTCCTACCAAAGGGTTTAAAAATAAACAACCCCTCCACAAGCCACTTTGCTGGGAAGTTGCCACAGTTGCCAACTCTGAAGATGCAGAATCTTAAAGGTAATAAGCATAATAGGATAGCTGCAGTTAAAAAGTTACATTAACATGAATTACACAAGGGATTCTAAATTTGAGAGATTCAGGTAATAGAGGGGAAAATTACTTTGTTGAAATAAATTCAATGATTCCCAGAAGAATAAAATCCCAGACTTCCTTTATTTCAGCATCGCACAAATAAATACAAGTTCTTTTGTAATCACATCATGTTCATGAATGTAACATTTATTACAGCTAAGTAACAGCAAGCATTTCAGCAAATATGTTTTAATTAAGTAATCAACAGCACCTCTATCCAAATGGATCAATTTGGCGACAGAACCTTTTTTTTGAAGTTCAAACCATTAAAAACAAAGTGGTTAGTGTTGGTATGCTAGGTTCAGGGCAGCTGTGTTTAACCCTTAAAACTTAGAGAAAAAAATATATATAATTTTTTAATAACAAAATCTCATTTAATATGTGCATCTGAAACATAATGTGCATCAGTTTGCATTTGTACATTCACCAATAAAGATACCAAGATTCATTTCACAAGTAACATTTAATAAGAGGAACTATAATTAATAAAGTACTACAGTATTTTGAACTCCTAGAGTGCCACATCATGTTATATGCCCTGATTGTTTAAATAGTTAATACATGTCCTTTTAAAACATCACTACAGTTTGCTAAAATGCTCTCTAAGGGATTGTCTGAAATGTTTTTGCTTTCCCCGATGCTCAGAGTTTAATGTACTGCAGATTTAAGGCAGTTTAAAGCATGGTTATTTGTAATTCATTCTTAGTAATAAGCCATACCATATCTTCCATTAACAGTCTGTATAGAAAATTAACTTCTGGAACACCGAGTGTTTTTTCATAAGCCTTTTAGTCTCCCTAATTCTCAATGGAAGTAAAAAGCAGCGTTTAAGATAAATAGTACATGCAAAGCAACAGTGTAAAGGAAAGAACAGAAGACTTTCTTTTTCAAAATCAGGGAATATTATTTTTAAAATGTACTTCTTTGTGGTCAAGGTGAAGGAAATTTGTTTGATTTTTAGAATATTTTTAAAATTTCACGCCATCAGATCAACAACAAGCGTTACCAAGGATGAAAAATGCGCAAAATACTGAATAAGTGATTCTGATGGAACCTCGTTGACCTGAAACATTAACTCTGTTTTTCTTCACAGATGCTGCCTGAAATGCTGAATATTTCCAGTATTTTCTTTTCTGTTTCTATGTCAGATTTTCAGTATAAGCTTCTTTTCTATTACCAAGTATGGTGTGATTAGATGTAAAGTCTCATGTATAAGGGCCCAATAGCAACTACAGCAGTTTACTGTTCCTTTTCGTTAACAGTAATTTTTGTTGCCTTCCTGTGAGAAGCTGTCAAACTTTTTTGCTAGCCTGAGCCAAATTGCGAAATGTTTCGTGATGTGTGCTCGAGCCTACACTGGAAAGTGGACGAGAACTGTTCGTCCTCATTATACATAGGAGCCTTAGTGTCAGGAAAATACGAGAGCTTCTATCCCATCAGTCTGGTGCAAATTGAACTTGGGTTTTGGAATTTAAAGCACGTATCTAATTAATAGAGTTAAGAATTTTGCATGTGGGCCTGATTTCAATGCTACGTAAGGTTTTTGAGTGAGTTAAAATCTCAACCAGAGTGTGGGAATATCTTTGGACTTATGCAAAGTTATAAATATATCTTCAAGAAATTAGGATAGACATTTTCTTCCCGTAGTAACTCTCATTATCTTTGCATAAGTTAACATCTAGACATCCATTCTATGGAATGTATGTTTGGGCCTTCCCAGAGAAGAACAGAGTTACTGTTTCACGCCTGTCCTGTCTACTAGAAGTCATGAGTTTTGATGGAAAGTCACAGATCTGATATGGTAACTCAGTGGCACATTATAGGCTGTATTTTCTCAGTTACATAGTAATCCTGAAATTGGCTTCAGCTCTGGATTGGAAACTAGGAAGTGAGATGACTGATGCAATTTTCCCTGGTGTCTAAATATAAAGCTGCCACTGGGAGCCCTGTCCATTAAGAGGTTGGGCAGAAAGTGGATTCCAGGTAGAGGATTTCCACTGCTGTCAGGGCTGCAACACACTGGGATAAATGGGCACTGCTAAGACTGCTAGGCCAGACTAAAACTGCCACCAAAGTATATCATGTTATAGGCATCTACCTGCAGAGATGGCAACAAACAATGAAGCCTGAAACCAGTAGGATCATTGGATGTGTAGGAAACTCCACCCCAGGCATACAGACAAGTTGGCAGACAGCCTTTGATTCCTGCGGTAATGCTATTGGGGCATGCAGATTCTAGCTCCAATGGCCATGTGGCTTACTACTGGGTGGTCACTTCAATTGAGCTGGCAGCCTCTACACTTGGCAGGGGCCACTCCATTAGCGAGAAACTACCAGTGTCATTGCAAAATGGCCCCTAAGTGTGGCCTCTGTTGGTTTCATGAATTGGAGCTGACAGCCGAGCTTGTTCCAAGCCTACCCCTGAGAAAACAACAGAGAGACAATCTGACACAACTTTCCCTCTAATGTCCTGACACTGCCCCAATACAGCTTCCACTATCTCCATGAGGCTGGCAAAATACAGCAAATTAACTTCCAGATCATGCGGATGCTACCAGTAAGGGATAGACCTAATTTCCACAAATCACAAATAAACAAGCCCTTAACCCTATTTACCCAATATACAAACACAGTATTGTCAGAACGTCTGATGCCACCTCTATGCAGATGCAATTATTTGTTATATTTTCTGTGGTAACTACATTTATTAATTTACTGTTGTTCCTTCAGTTTCCAAATTGTACTGTTATGTTACATGTTCAGGTTGTTACATTATTTGTTTTGCATGTGGATTTCAACTTTGTACCAATCTTATAGGAGTTGAGGGTCATAAATGTATTATTTCTGTTTTGTTCTGAGGTACATGGAGTTTAGTGGCAATTTAACACACTGCAGGGTAGCTTTTGTGACAGTGTGAAATGACTGATGGCAAGTCAACGTTCCATGCTTTATCTCTCCTCATTGTATTTCCACTGACATGAATGGAAATAAAAATCAGGAGAGCTGTAAAACAGGTTGTCATTTCATACTGTTAAACAAGGTCAAAATCACCTTTCAGTCTTCCCACACTGCAAGGGTATTAAAGAGCTAGAGTCCCAGTACTGACTTCATTTCATTGGGTGATTAAAACAGTGGAACTTGCCGACTTAATTTTACCAAAAGAAGAAGAATTTTGTGCTCATTTTCAATTTCAGCAGAAGATTAAATTAACCTCAGTTCATTGGTGATCTTGATGGCTGTCAATAACAAATATCTTCTAATACTGATTCATAGACCATATTCAAAATCTCATCTCTTAATACTGAAGTTGATATCTTAGTTTAATTGTTGTAATTATTCTCCACTCTAATGTTTGATATTATTTAAATTGCTAATTGGCTCACAACAGTAGTAATTATCCTGAAGACTAGGACTCGAGTTAATTTTTGTAGAAAACCACATAATATCGAATATCATAGAACAATAAGGATAAAAGAAAGATATTTTGTCGCTAAGGAGACTTTAAAAACAATTTAAAGAAATTGGACACTCTCCATCTTTCAGAAGACATTGAATTACCAGAACAAAAGCAGGGTTACATATGGTTATAAATCAGGAAGCCCGATTGGAAAGGAACATTGTTTATCGTTGAACACCAAAATAAAGCCACAAATTGTGGTATGCAAAGGCTAGTCTCAGGCCGGGACAGACAGTTCTGTAAGCCATCCCTGGGTCTGTTTTAGTTTTTTTCCCCTCCTACTGGTTCTGCTTTATAAAAGACTCAGGTGATGAGTTCTACTTGGGCAGGCCGAAAGGAACTCGCACTCAACAAGCTTCACAAGGTGGTTAATTAGTGATTCCCTCTGGGCTTCTGGTGGTTACCACACACATATATTTACTCCATTTAAAAGGAATCTAATATAAGGCTGTTTCTTAACCCAAAATAGTAAATGGTTTGCCGTTAATGAAGACATAACTATCTCTTGATGTAAAATGTGGAATAACTGAAAGAAAGAAGAGATGTGCACATCTATAAGCAATTTAACTATAACTTTCCATGTATCTAAAATTTCTTCCTTTCTTTGGACCATGCAAATTGAAAAGGGAGCTTTTAAAACTATTTGTTTTTGGTTATGCTTCCAGCAGCAATAGTTTGTTTTTTACTTAAGTTCGCTAGAGAATTGCATTACAGCTGTACCTTTCATGTGAGGTATGGCTATTGTGCAGACTTGTGGTGAAGTAAAGGTGGCAAACATTTTGCGGGCCTGCGAGCTGGATTTGATGGACAGTACGTAAATTAACGATGTGAATGCAACAGGCCATTGATAGGTAACATCTTTATGACAGACAGGGAAAAGGCATGGGAGACTACTGGGCACGTTGCAATGAGTTGCAACCTGCAGATTTCCAAAATATTGTCTGAAAAATAGTTACCATAACACCAAGACTAACAGCCAATGATCCTCTAAGAGACCCCTGCAGTCCTTATGCTTGCGTTCATGTGATGTCAAATTGAAGGAATAGGCAGATGGTTGTAATTTTCCTTATTGAGCATTGATATAACTATTTGTCGTCATTACTCAAAATGTAAAGCTACAAGATATTTAATGTGAAAATTTCTGTATTGTGATTTCCATCTGGACTATATCACAAGCCTCATCGTGACACAGAACCAAACCGGTTTAAGACAGCACTGAGCCAAATACTTTTAATTTGTATCAAAGATCCAAATCACAAATTAGCATGGCAACATTGCAACTACTCTGACAAAACTGCCCACAACACTTTTCTCAGCAGAATCTATATTTATGTCATCTGGATATTTAGCTCTCATTAGTCTTGAGTTATTCGAGAATAAAGCACATTGTCCTTTGCTCGCCCTTTTCTTGGTATTTAAGTTCATTAATTTGAAGCTGTGCAGACTTTTGATTAAATGTGGTTAGTGATGGCACAGGCTCATAATCTTAACACAATATGTGGTACTGTCCTGTATGTGGCAGTGTAGAGGTTACTGAATCTAATTCTGCCTAAAAATACTGCTTGAAAAGAAAAGAAAACGGGAAACAAAAGCATGTACAGCAATATTTACCACTTACGCACAATCTATGTTTAACTTCCTTGACACACAGATAGAACAATTTGTCTTAAAACTTCCTTGACACACAGAGAACAATTTGCCTTACAAGAATCAACAGCATGTCTTACTTAGCTTCCAAATAGTGTCTCCTGTAGAAAATGTTTTGCTTTGACAAAATATCCTTCTTTTCAATGCCATTACAATTAAAATATTCTGGAGCAGAGCATTGGGTTAATTGTGTATTCTGTCCTCAAGTCCTCTGCATAGTTGTTCAGTCTAACTTCAAAGTAAAGCAACGTCAACACTTGCTCATAGAGGTGGAACCCATTAGTGGAAGCTAGTAAGGTCAGAGGCTGTCACTGACCGTAGCACAGTTTGATAGACTAGTGAAGGTACAAATTAAAGCGTGCTTGGAGCAAGGAGGTCTAGAACTTGAGCAACTGTAAATCCTGTAAACTCTTCGGATTTGGCTTTTTTTTTCCTTCTTGTTGCCGCAGCAACTCAGTAGGCAGCACCAACATCAGCACTTGTTACAGGCCTGGAAAAAAGAAATTATTGATTATTAATGGGTTTGCTGTCATACAACCACAAAGCGAATGGACTCCCTCCCATCATATTGTTCACGTGTGAATTATGTTTTGTAATGTCTTATTACCATTATGGTATATATTATATAAAAATGTTGTATGCATATATACACACATACATATGTGTAAATAAATTTTACATATAAATGCATGTGAATGTTCTAAATATATTCTAATTACCCTTAGGATCATCGATGGCACATTTAACTTTTGTCTGTTCCAACTTTCAGTATCATAGTGGGACTTACAAACAGCAACAAAGGTGAATATAGCTTCCCAATGCATTTATTTATTATAAGTGCACTTAGCAGTAAGTTTGCCTTTTGAAAACAATGGCCATAGAAGCGGATAGTTTCTAATCAATAGACATTAATTCCACATAAACAGCTAAACTGCATATCTCAGCTCAAAAGTACCAATCTATTGCCCATCCTGGTTCTTACAATAGAGTCAATAAATGTGGAGCTGGAAAAGCACAGCAGGTCAGACAGCATCTGAAGAGCAGGAAAGTCAACGTTTTGGGCCGAAGCCTTTCACGAGTCCTGAAGAAGGATTTTGGCCCGAAACGTTGACTGTCCTGCTCCTCAGACGCTGTCTGACCTGCTGTGTTTTTCCTGCTCCACATTTATTGATTCTAGCTTCCAGCATCTGCAGTCCTTACTGTCTCCTGGTTCTTACATTATATAGGTCCAACAGAAACATTCCTTTTGGACACATTTGCTAAATAAATGTGAATTAAAGTACAAAAGAAAACTACCACAGTTTGCTTCTTAACTTGGAGGTGAAAATATGAAGCAAAAATAACGTGAAGGGTTAACTAATTAAGTTCAGCCATTGTTAATTAATGACATTACAGACAATTCTAAGCTAAACACCACGTAATTGTATCAATAAGTACATTTTCAGATGATCACCGCAGGCACCATGGTATAATGTGATGGTGATCCACTGAAACCATCAGGATGCCTTGGGTAGATTCACTGCCACTATTCCTTTTTCTTAATATCAGTCTAAGTTACTGATACTAAATGAGGAAGGATATCCAAACAAAGTCTTAGGCTCACTCTTGATAAAAAGAATCAGTTCTTATATATTACTTAATAACTAATACATTACATCAGAATTCCAAGGTAGTTTTTTGAGGCTGTCAGGCTCGAGGCGAGAGTATTATGCATTAATGCTTCTGAAGCAATTTGGTCCGTTACTTAGACAAATGAACAAACTATATGTCTTGTTAATTGCTCCCAAGAATTGTCCGTTATACCCTGATAGATGGAGCTCATCTTGTGACTCAACTGACCATTTCAGGTACCAACTATCCAAGAGAACAATACTCCATTTACTGAAGATAATAATTTATATTTATACTGCATCTTTAATTTGATGCAGCATTGCTATGTCTTTCATGGGAGGAATGTAAAACAAAATGATTGAGTCCCATGAAGGTATATTCATTTCTGTGGCAAAATCTTAAACCGGTAGGTTTTGCAAAATGTCTTTAAGAAGGAAAACAAGGAGGGGAAGCAGAGAGGTAGGGAAGATATTCCAGACCTTGGAGGCTTGACAACTGAAGCCATGGTGACCAATTGTAGAGTTGTTATAATTGGAAATGCACAAGAGATGAGATTCAGAGGGGTGCAGATATCTCGAAGGGTTCTAAGGGTGGAGAAGTTTACAGGCATAGGGAGGGGCATGGTCCTGATGAGAATTGAAAGCAAAGATGAGAATTTTAAAGTCAAGGTATTATTTGACCAGGAGCCAATGTTCAGAGAGGTGATAATTTGCAGCAAGTAAGCAACCCTCAAGACGTGAGCAATAGAGCTCTAATAACCTCAAGTCAAAGTACTTCACAGGAGTACTATATAAACAAGAATCAATGCCATATCACATCAAGTGATATCAGGGCAGATAGTAAACATCTTGGTTAAAGTCATGGAGTTAAAGAGAGTATAAATGAAAGAAACAGGTAGAGAGGCAAAGAAATTTAGGGAGGCTATATACTACAGATTAGAATTAATCTGATTAATAACTATAATTTTAAAAAAATTAAAACTGACCAGACAATGTTTAAAAGAACAAATTGGCTTAATATTGAAATGTAACAGAAAGGTTTAACAATTAATTTCATAATACAATAAAGATATAGGACCTTACGATTTAATAAAAAGGTATATGTAAAGTGTGCACAAGTTCACTTTTAATTCATTGTTTAATTTTCAGTTTTAAAATGTTATAGTGGCTTGTACCAATATGTATCAGGCAACAGATGAAATCTTAACGTACTTCAGGTAATTTCAAATGGTATGTGCACATAAAGTAAAACAGTAAAATCAAACTGCAATAAGGGAGGTACATTATGAACACTGAAATACATCTGGACGAACATGACATCTATAAATGAAGGTCAGATCTATCGTGTTTGTTAAACTTTTTCTCAGATTTGACAAAATGAAAGATCTTTCACGTCGATTTTTTGCTGATATCAGCTTGTGGCAGCAGACACTACAAATAGCTATAATGCCTTAGGCAAGATTAGGAATGAAAAAGTCAACTAAGGTTCCTGCTTCTGAATGCAATCCAATAATCACTGTGTAAGTGGCCAATGGTACACCAATGATCAGAGGTGGAGGTGCGGGAGACGGGGGGGATTGGAGATAAACCAGCTCAATAAGGCCATTCATCCAGAATTCATTGGGTGACTTGCAGGTGCCATAATAAAGAAATAAATTAATATTGATCTAAAAAAATTGGGTTCATTAAGGACAGCCAGAATAGATTTTTAAAAAAGAGGTAATATCTGGTGAATTTATTTCAACTCTTTGGTGATATAATGGAGTGCGTCAATGAAACTTATGAAGCTGATGTTTCGCGTAACAAATTTTAAAAGGCATTGATTCATACAAGAAGATAGGAACAGGATAGCCTATTCAGCCCCTTCAATCTGTTTTGCCATTAAATTCAGTTAGATGGTATAGAGGAGACATGTCGATAAAATTAAGGCATATATTATTAAAGTACATATGGAAGCACATGGTAGCAATTTGGTAAAAGGACTTGTGGCTGATGTACAGTTGAGTTTGGTCAACATGCCATCTAACGAGTGTTTTTAAAAAGAGCAGTCAAGATCAATACCAGTAGAAACTGTGCTGCCTCACAGTGCCAGGGACCTGGAATCGATTCCACTCTCAGGTGTTTGCCTGTGTGGAGCTTGCACTTTGTCTGGGCGCTCCAGTTTCCTCCCACAGTCCAAATATGTGCAGGTTAGGTGGATTAGCCTTGGTTAATGCAGGGTTATGGGGAAAGGGTAGTGGGGTGGGTCTGTATGGGATACTCCGAGGGTTGGTGTAGACTCCTTGGGCCGAATGGCCTCTTCCAGACTGTAGGGATTCTATGAATGCAGACATGGGAGGGGTAAGAACTTCTTGTAACATGCATGCAACGTTAAAGACCAGGCATAATTGCTATTTTGCCCTCCCTGACCACCTACCATTCCCCCCAGTTGTTGATTTCCTCCGTGCCCCCCCAAAGTCACTGCTTCCTCCATCTTCTGACTAGTGCTGCCACACCTCCCAGGAACCTATTTTGAAACTCGCTGTTGATAAAATGGCAGCCTGAAATTGAACCTTCCTTTGCTATCAAGGTAATGTCCAGCAGGTGTGTGCAGCTTGCTGGTTCATAAATGAGGAATCACGGCTCAATATTGAGTGGGCTATAATCCTACCCTTTCCTGCACAGGGACCATTCTTGGGAGGCAAGTTAAGTAGACAGTCAATCTCGAGGCACTTCCTTCAAATTATCTCTGGAAACCAGTTAAAATATCGCCACTGTAAGAGTCCTTATATTTTGGGTAAAGTTTACATTGGTTGAATAGGGATGCAATTATTTAGCTGCTGACAGTGTCATGCAAGTTACCAACTCACAGATCAACGTGATGATAGAGGCCAGGAGGAGCATGACGCTGATGTGGAGAGAGTTGGCTGAGCTGCAGTCCATTTTGTTCTTCTTGCAGGAGCAGACTTGCACCAGAACATCTGTACTGTTAGTCAGTGGGGGATTTCCCCCATCTGTCACTACAATTGGCAAAATGTAGTTTGCTCTTTTCAGTGTCTGCAGGAGTCTGAGTTGAGCATGGGTACCTAAAAGAACAAATCAAAAGTGTGAATTTTATTCTCAATATATAACAGTCATTTTCTTTCCATCAAGATAAGAGCAATCAACATGAGCAAATGAATCACGTTTAAGTGAAGGAATGGGTGACACAGCCAATTGTGCATTTTATCATATTGATCACATTCAGGATGACCGCTAATTTGCTGATGCTAAAGAAACATAATTAGCTCAATTTTGGGATCACAAATTACAAAAGAAATTGATTTTTCAAGTATCGGCTGAAGTTGAAAATCTGAAAAATGTTTTATTGCATCTAATAAGTCATTTGTAAAAATAAAATTTTAAATATTCTAGAAAATTAATTCCTGTTGTCTATAAACTCAAGTCATCCTCACTCAATAGGTTTTAAAGACACTGCAAACATAGCTGGAGTTGATATAGTACACTTACTAAAGAGAAAATATTCCTGAAAATCCTACGGTCTTTAGCAAAGTAGTCTTTCTTTAAGTGAGATAATAAGAACTGCCGATGCTAGAGTCAGAGATAACACAGTGTGGAGCTGGAGGAACACAGCAGCCAGGCAGCATCAGAGGAGCAGGAAAGTTGACGTTTCAGGTAGGGACCCTTCTTCAGAAATAAGGGAGGGGGAAGAGAGCTCTAAAATAAATAGAGAGAGGAGGGGTGGGGCTGGGGAAGATAGGTGGGATGGTGATAGGTGAGTGCAGGTAGGCAGTGGTGGGGATTGGTCAGTGAGCTGGGAGAAGCGGATAGGTGGGAGAGAAGATGGACAGGTTGTGTCAGGTCAAGGAGGCGGGGATGAGAGGGAGGGTTGGTCATGGGATGAGGCTGGGGGTGGGGAGATTTTGAAACTGGTAAAGTCCACATTGAGAGCATTGGGTTGTAGGCTCCCAAGATGGAATATGAGGTGCTGCTCCTCCAGTTTCCAGGTGCCATCATTGTGACACTGGAGGAGGCCCAGGATGGCCATGTTGCCCAGGGAGTGGGAGTGGGAGTGGGAGTTGAAATGGGTTGCGACTGGAAGGTGTTGTCGTTTGTTGCGAACAGAGCGCAGGTGTCTACAAAGTAGTCTCCAAGCCTCCGTTTGGTCTCACTGGTGTAGAGGCGGCCACATCGGGAGCAGTGGATGCAGTAGACCACATTAGTGGATGTACAGGTGAACATCTATCTGATATGGAAGGTTTTTTTGGTTCCTTAGATGGAGGTGAGGGGGGAGGTGTAGGGGCAGGTGTAGCACTTCCTACAGTTGCGGGAAAAGGTGACGGGGTTGGTGGGGCCAGTGGGGAGTGTGGAAAGGATGAGGAAGTCGTGGAGAGAGTGGCCCCTACAGAAGGCAGATAAGGGCGGGGAGAGAAATATATCTTTGGTTGTGGGGTCACATTGCAGGTGGCGGAAGTGGCGGAGAATGATACGTTGAATACAGAAGTTAGTGGGGTGATACATGAAGACAAGGGGGATTCTGTCCTGGTTTTTGTTGCGGGGAGGGGATGTGAGGGCTGAGATGCAGAAAATGCATTAGATGCGGTCAAGAGCATTTTCAACCACTGAAGGGGGGGTATGTTGCAGTCCTTGAAATAAGAGGACATCTGGGACGTTCAGGAGAGGAACGCCCCATCTTGGGAGCAGACGCAGCGGAATTGGGAGCAGGGGATCGTATTCTTGCAGGAAGGTGGGAGAGAGGATATGTATTCTAGGTAGCTATGGGAGTCGGTAGGCTTGAAATAGTTATCGGTTTCGAGGCGGTCACGAGAGATGGAGACAGAGAGGTTCAGGAAGGAGAGAGAAGTATCAGATACCATCAGATACTGCTTGGCCTGCTTTCTTTAAGTGATCCAATTTTCCCAGCTATTAGAATTAACTGAACTTATATGTGAATAAGTTGTGCTCTTGCAATAAGCCAGAGAGAAATGTATGTCACTGATGTTGCTTCATCAAAGAATACAGGGGACATGATAGTATATTTAGAAGTACATTAATTGAAAATGGGAAAATTTCTCTCAAAGTGTTTTGCTGAGTGAGAGTTTTGGCACCCAAACAGTCATGGCTCACACTGACTTTTTCCACACAATCTTCTGATCTTCATTTTGTTAATTAAGCATCTAGGCTCTTTAGCACCTTTATCATGCAATCACAAGGCAGGAGAAGCAGAAGAGCTCATCACTGCCAGGATCTTTCAGCATTCATGCCACTGATACCATATGTAAAGCCCTTCTGCACACAGGTCAGATGCTGCAAGTCAGGAACTAGCTCTCGCACTGTTACTGTGCATTGTTATACTGGCCCTCACACTGTTATTGTGCATTGTTATCCATGACAGTACAGCCCAGGAAGAGAAGATAGCAGCTCAGGTCAATGCTGTGACTCATGTTAAATGGAATGCACAGAGGTGGAGGAAAAGGTTAATGATCTCTCTGCACTACAATGGTAAATGCCTTCTGCTCTCGGCTACCTCACATTCACGGGTCGCCACCTATACTGTTGCACACACCTCTCACCAAGGCTGATAGGCAATACTGTTAACTATTGCATGCCTTTTGTCCACTCAATGATTCTCACCCACCTCATCCTCCAAACTACTAACCCTTCCTTATTCCTTGCAATTCCTACTCCCAATTCCTGGAGGTACCTGACGACTTCTCCTCTCTTGCATCTCCACTAACTGCTTTCTATCCACTTTCATCACATGCAGTCTCTACCTTTGTCCCAGTGCAGGAAACATTGGCCACATCCTAGACTGAAGGCTCCACAGCAGCCAGTATTCTCTGGGCTTGTTGTACTTGGCATAGAACTGACCATGGTCCACAGTCTGCAAGGACATGGATCCCTAGGCTTTAGCAGAACCCAGTGTCTGACTGATTGTGGCCAAACCCCAGACTGGAATCTGTTGAGGCCTTTGGCTCAGTGTGACAGAACCCCCTGACTGACCATAATCCTCGTGACCCAACTAAGGGCCAATCCACTTTGACTTTCAGATATAGCCATCTGATTGAAGCACATGCAGTGAGTTGGTTGAAGAAGCTGCTGGCACATGTCGTAGGTGTGACATTGATGTAGTACGGTGACATACAACAACACATACATCCCCTTGACTCTTCAATGTTTCTCATCACGGTAAGTCTGCTTGCCTCTCTGCACACAAAAACAATGCATGCCACAGAGGCTGCCAGTGCCCAAGTAAGTGCAAGATGACTGGGCACTAAGAAATGAAGGTAAGATCAATAAACTCCATCCTATGTAGATGCAGCAGATGCATGTACTCTGGCATGCAAAGCAACCTGACAAGTCACAGCTCCAACGTGAAGTACTGAAGAGCTGAAATGGTGAGAGTGTTGGTCTGAGCACAAGCACAGTGATGTGATGAGACTGGTGGCTTGCTGATACCAACTTGTCTGGCTGAATGGTGAGGAGGATAGTGGCCACGGAAATATGGAGGAATGTTATGGGGTAGACACAGCTGAATGATGGCCTGGACAGGCCTCTGGCAAGGTGCAGCCACCAGCAATGTGCGCTGACTTCCATTTCAGGATTGGCATGCTTAATCGGGGAAGGAGGAGTATGTGAAATAATGTAGAAATAAGACGAATTGGATTATTAACAAGAGGCAAATACCAGCCCCCTCGAAACACAAGATTTGTAAGATTCTGTATATAGCTTAAGGGGAAAATCACAACATTTCTTTTGACATTAGGATTCTGATTTTTTTTTCAATCACGCTGTTTTCCCAGCTTTCTTGCCATTGGCCACACCACACCAGGGAACGAAAAATTCCGCCCATTATCTTTTTTCTCTGGCTTACAAGCTTGATTTTACGAGAACTCTATTAGAACTGTCTCAAACCCTGCAGTAAAATAATCTTAAATCTAAACACTAATTGGCACTAATTTTGGCAGTCTCATTGAAACAGCCCATAAAGAAAGAAATTCTCAGTGCTACAGCACAGAACCCTTCAGATGCTGAAGACAAGGCATATTGAATGGTATATTTTATCAAATTGTTAATTCTTTTAAGGATTTTGTTAGCCATAGTCTATTGATGAAATCTGCTATTATTGGGCAGAGTGAAAGGAATATTTACAGAGCTGTCCCTAATGTACAATAATTGTTTCAAAGCACCTGGTGGTGAGTGAAGAAACCAAATGTAGAGCCAAAAATGAGGTTTGAAAGTGTGAAGAAATCATGCTCAAAAAGCTTGGTTTTAAGAAAGATCTTAAAGGAGGAAAGGGAAGTGGAGAAATTGAAGGACTTTGTGATGAAATTCCAAGACAGGTACAAACATGCTTAATTTGATTAAATAGATAATATAATTCATCTACGTCAGCATAGCCTTTTGAAAGGGAAATTAGGTTCAACAAATCTACCAATCAGTTCTTTGAGGATTTAAATAACTGGTGGATCTAGTATATTTGGATTTTTAAAAGGCATAACAAAATTCCATACAAAAGGATGTTGTACAAATAGGATTCGTGGGTTGGGGACAACATTTAGAGA